TTCTTAAGCAGTGCTTTGCTTATCCTGGGTCTCTTTCCTTTCCATATAAAGTTTGTAATTGCTTTTTCCATCTCTTTGAAGAATGTCGTTGGAATCTGGATTGGTATATGTGTAAATTGCTTTGGGCCCATGCATTTTTATTGTTTGTCCAAATTAGGCAATGGTTTTATCTTTATCAGTGAAGTTGTTGTTAAGTACTATTGAGTCAGTTTTGACTCATAGCAAATCTGTATAGAGTTGCCAAGGAAAGGTTAGCAAGCTAGAACTGCTGACCTTGCGGTCCAGTGCTTATCCTACAGTTCCACACTAGAACTTGAAGATGTCAGTGGTGGTGAATTAAAATAAAGCCTTAACTTTCTTTGTTTTTAATTTGTATTTCTTTGTTTTGTTTCGGTTGTTGCTTTAACATCGATTTTTTAAATTCTGTAGTAGGGAAACTGAAACTTAAAGACAAAAATAAATCACAATTAAGTTATTGTACTAGCTATAATTTTATTATAATTATTTAGATCACTTTTAGGACGCTTTGGTTTATGATTGTTGTTGTTGATGTTAAATGCAGTCAAGTCAGTTCCAACCCATAGTGCCCCTGTATAGTTTTTCCAAGGAGCAGCTGGTGAGCTTGAAACACTGACCTTGTGGTTCAAACCGACTTTGCAGTCCTGCACATTAGCCCACAGCGCCACACAAGGACTCCTTAGTTTTATGATAATGAGGTTTAAAAAAGAATTGGCAAACAGATTTCATCTTTAAAATTTGTGGATGTCAAGAGTGATTTGGGAGGTTAGCAATATAAATTAAAATTTAAACTGGTAATACTGGCTATATTGAAAATCTACATGTGTATAAAAAGTAAAGAGCCAATTTACAATTATGTACAAGTTACATCTTCTTTCAAAGGAGAAACTAAATTTTAATAGCAACATCTTAACCATTTTGCATTTTATTTACAGTATTTTTTAAATTTTTAGTTTCAGTCTGATGGAAGCAAACAAGAAGATAAAGATAAAACGGTAAGAGACTAGAAAAGTTCAATGTGTTTTATGTACAGCGTACACAAATTTTATATGAACATGTTAAAATCACAGGTGAATAATTATACAGTACTTGTGCTGAATGTAGCTGTTGATAGATTGTACAAAGTTGTCTTTTAAGATGAACAACCCTCCTTTTTATGAGGATTAACATGTTGAGAAAGGAGAGATGTATAAAAGCCCCTCATTCTTTATCTATTCCCTTTCCTTCTCTCACCTCATTTGCTTTCCTTTAAAAAAAAAATTTGCTATCAAGTTCATTTTGACTCATAGTGACTCTATTTGTTGTTAATTGCAATAGAGTCAGTTCCTACTTATAGCAACTCTGTTTTAAACGGTTGCCAAGTAGTGACTGGTGGATTTGAACCACTGATCTTACAGTAAACCCTCCAGTGCTTATCCTACATTGCCACACCAGGACTTCTATGTTGTTTGTTGTTGTTGTTTTGAGGTGCCATAGAGCCAGTACTGACTCATTGTGACCCTATGCACAGCAAAAAGAAACATTGCCCGATCTATAGGACAGAGTAAAACCATCCCATAAGGTTTCAAAGGCTGTCAGACTTAATGGAAGCAGTTTGCCACATCTTTCTTCTGCAGAGTGGCTGATAGGTTCAAACCATCGACTTCGCCTTTAGCAGCTGAGCACTTTAAGCATGGTGCCACCAGGACTCCTTAGATTTGTTGTTCTGCTGCTGCTGTGTACTATTGAGTCAGTTCTGACTCAGCAATTCTGTATAGGGTTTCCAAGGCTTTAAATCTCTACTGGAACATAACACCTCATATTTCTTCCATGAAGCAGCTGGTGGATTTGAACTGCTGACCTTGCAGTTAGTAGCTTAATCCAGAACTCACCACGTCACCAGGGCTCCTTAGATTTGCTATCTAGAGAAACATAAATAGGCATGAAAACGCCAGTGGCCAGTGATAGGATGGGAGAATTGGATACTGGGTGTTAACAGAACAAGGAATGGAAGTTTATTCAATATGGTCATAAATTTATATTGGGGGCGGGGCAGTTACTGTGCATAGGCAATTACTTCTTACTGAAATATTTTTTCTTCCCTGCTTAGGAAGTTATCCTTAGCTGTTTGCTTAGCATAACTGACCAGGTACTACTTCCATCTCTTTCTTTGATGGACTGCAATGCTTGTATGTCTGAGGAACTATGGGGAATGTTTAAAACATTTCCATATCAGCATAGGTAAATACTTTTACATTTTTAACTTCTGTTAACAGAGTTCTAGTATATTAACCTTTAAGTGTTTTTAACACTTTATCTTAATTCTTTCCTTTTTAAGATATCGTCTGTATGGCCAGTGGAAGAATGAAACTTATAACAGTCACCCACTTTTAGTAAAAGTTAAAGCTCAAACAATAGACAGAGCCAAATATATCATGAAGTAAGTTTTCTTTCTTTTTCTACATGTTATCATAAATATATCTGGATCTAATTTATTTTCTTTCCGCTAACTTAAATCTGAATGTCAGTTTTGAAGAAGTTCATGAATGTTTGCTAATATTACAACTGATTATATCTTGCAGATAAATTGGCTATCAAGTGTTGTGGTTGTAATTCATTTTGACTACTGTTGTTAAGTGCCACTAAGTCAGTACTGACTCATAGTGAGCCTGTGTAGGGTTTCTGAGGCTTTACATCATAGCAGGATTAGAAAGCCTCATCTTTCTCCCATGGTTTTGACTACTACGTTAATCTTTTAATAGTTTCATGTTTCCATACGTATAAAATCTGAAAATACTCCTTGATGCATACATATTTTGCTCAGTTTGCATAATAACTTTTCAATAGTTGTGTGTGAGGATATCACTATTCTAGTAATTTATTCTGCTAGAAGTTATTTTAATAAAACTATTATATTTCTTAGCAAAACTTTAATGGCATTATGTAACACTGTCTCCATAAGGAGTTAGAGACTCTTTTTAGAAAATTTTTATTTTGAATTGAGTGAAGGTTTGCAGACCAGATCATCGATTTTATATTCAACAAGTCATACACTTCATTTCATATCGATGATTGCAATTCACTCAATGCATCGTCACTTATCCCACAGCCTCCCTGTGTTTCTTGCTTCCTTTCCTCCTTCTTTCCTAATCATTCTGAATTTTTTCTTTGGGTAAATGCTGCGCTTTTGTTCTTGAATGGTTTGACCATTCTATGGTGTGCATACTTCACTAATGTTATTGCCG